GCCTGCGTATTTACTCGAGTATCACTTCAGATGTTAAGAAAGATGTCTGCATGGTATGATCAAGGGCTGAATTGACTTCGGAAAAGCACTTTGTGACTCACAGGAAAGAACAACGCAGCTCTACAGGCAGCCGGAGCTCGCGCACTTGGAAATGGGCGCTAGCACTGCCGGATTTGGTGACTCCGACACTCTCACTCTCTCAGAGCGCGCACTTTCCACGATCTGTTGTCCGAGTCTCAGCTTCTGCAACATGGTATGCATACTAATATCGAGGTAAGTTCACCATCCATGTACAAAAAAACAGATTCTCTTCACTGTATGGGGCAGGCGGAAAGCCCGGGCTTAAGCCCGAGCCCAGCCTGGCCCAGCCCGAGCCTGCTACTAGGGCCCGGCTTGAAGTCTTGGTGAGCCCGAGCCCTCCAAAGCCGGGCCCTAGCCCGGGTATTTGAGCCCAGCCCGGCCCTGCACATCACTAAGTACCAACGGACGCACTGGCCATCACGAAGGAGAGCGCTGACGAGACTGCGATCCCCAGCAGCATCCTTGAGACCAAGTCTCGCTGTTTAGATAGGCGCCTCCATGACATCGCGAGGAGGAGTATGTCTGTCAAAATGGTTGCACTTCGAGAGATGATCGTGACTATACTAGCACATCTTGCACATCAGCGTAGCAGAGGATAAGGGCCAGGTTGTCACGTACTTCTGAAGGCAAACATGTCGTTCTACATGCCTCTGTAGTGGTGTCCTGAGCAGAGACGGGGTACGTATACGATGTAAGCTCTCCCAGCCCGTTGGCAAATGGGGTGCTTGTGACCAACACTAGAGCGGAGGTGGCATCCTGAAGTCGTTTTCAACTCGTGAGTATGTACAATAACCGCGCGTAGCCAAAATTTGTGACTGGAGGTTGATAGACTTGGCAAGTTCGAGGGAAGAGCAATAGGGTGCGGGCAACAAATCCGAATTGTTAACACGTGGATTATTAACAGCTTAATAACCTGTTAATAAACAGTTAGAAAGGATGAGTCTAGATAGCCATGTCAAGAATTGTTCAAAACAAGGACCAATTTGAGAGTCCTTTTGACTCCGATAACAACAATAGACCGCTTTCATTGTGTTTACTGTAGGCCAGAGTAGTGCTGCTGTGAACTGCAAGCTTGGTGCCTCTGATTTATGCAGGCCGCTGGCCAAAGCCGCCAGTGAGCTTGGTCTGATTAAGATCTCAAAGGGAGAGCGGGACTCGTCGCTACACAGCTCATTGATGTCATGCCTCGTCAGATATACAGTACTTGCAATGGCGAGGTGTCTCTGAGTTCTAGGGACTCTGTTGGTCGACTGAGATGTTTATTACTCAGGTCAACAACTTGTGAACGTGTGTAGCGCCTGGTTAATTAACCATAAATAACACATGTTAACAAGGGGTCCAAGGGGGCGTCCGTTAATAACGGTTCGTTATAAACCATTTTCATTGTTGACCGCACCCTAAAGAGCAACGAAGTTGCCACGGACGATTGTCCAAATATGTCCAAAGTTGATTGGCGCCAAGGCGCTTGCAGCAGCGCATCGTCTTCGTTCACGGCGATTACTGGTGTCTGAATCACAATCTTTGCAGCTCTTCATACTGGCATCGCACTTGACTCTTCGCAAAGGCAGTGAACGCAATTCGATGCGACCAAGATCACGGTTAGCATGCTTACCCCGTGCAGATGGCTTGGCGTCGCTGATGGGGTTGTGCATGGCCAGACAGCAGCTGTGGGAGTCCGCGAAGCGCGGCCGTTCAGTCAAGAAGGTAAGTTTGCTAGCAGCAGCCTAGTGAATTTGGAAATGGCGTGCCCAGTGTGACTATTCCTGGGGTTTCCAGGGCCTATGAATATAAGCAGCAAGCGTAGCTCCTTTTGGGAGGTGAGAATCACTATGGGCCTGGCGCCCCCGGAAAACCCCCGGTTCGACAAGGCAAAAAGTGCGTTCAACGGTCGCACCGTGGAAATGGGATCTCACCGTTGAATATCACCCGTCAGTTATCCGCGGCGGCAACGTGTTTTTACATCCGTAGAGATTTACCACCTGAGACGCCAAGCTGAACGGGGTTATTCCACGGTTGCTCTCGGTGTCCGCAAACAAGTCTGCATGTGCCGGCCCTAAACATGGGCGCCAAATGCCAGTCGCTCTGATTCTGACCATTCTCTCGTCTGCATCGACATTCTCCTGTTGCTTGTGACATCTGACTTTCATGGAACTATTTTAGGGTGCGTTGGGTACATGACTGCTGTCGTGTCTACATTTCTTGGTCCCCTTTATCACCGTTCCTGGGGTGTGCATACAGTACCAGAGTCGTCGGGCAGAGCCCAGTGATGGACGGTCAGCATAAGGTAAGTCGCAATCTTCAGAGTTGTGAGTTTCTCAGGTAAGTCCAGCTATGTTGTTTGGCCATTCTGGCAAAGATGTCGATCAGGTAAGTCACTCTTCTCAAATATCTGCATTCTCCCCGGTGAGTATTTGCTGCTCTTCCCTGAATATCTGACTCCGTCTACCCAAACTCCCATATGTGTCCTTAGTTTTGGCGTGGATGTACTGCAGGAGTGGCAAGGGTCAAAAGGACGTGGTCGTTGAGAGTACCAGAGGGTCTCGAGCTTGCATAGTTTATATTGATATCCCTACCTGTACTATGTACTCAGCATGCCGTAATGCGACCATAACACTGCAATCTGCAGTGTGTTTAGCTACACTCTTGTACTGCATCATAAGTGATTCCCTATTGATTTCCAGCTGGCGCAAGCGAAGATCCGGCACCCGGAAACCGTGCAAATTCCCATGTTTTACAGGTGTAAATCCCGCCCTTCCGACCCGCTGTCTAACCGAGGTTTTTCTCCTGTCTGAGACCACGCCAGATTGACCGTGGAAAGCCGTCATCTTGACGCGCTTTTTGCTCGTCCATAAACCGGTGTTCGACCAGGGTTTTCTGCTCCATTTCCTTGGCCGGACCGCACTATTTCCTCGGTTTTCCCCTGTGGGTTTTGCACAGTCCCGGGCGCCATAGTGAATGCACTCGTTTTACTATTCTTCGCTTGTATGGAGGCCGAGCTTACTACATCTGCCAAACTCATATCTTGATAGATTTGAGATATTACGAATACACAGCCGCGTATGGTATTTTCTTGCAGACGTGCCATAATCTCCCACTCTCCCCGGTGTCTCCTCTGGTGCGATCGAACTGTACAGGTGAGCGAACATACTGTACCAAGACCCCGTCCAACTAAACCTCAAGTCGTTCGGTGACGATAGCATAACAAGCCCCGCTGTCAACCGCATCACTGGTTGGCAAGAGCTCAGCTCATATGTTCCTCGATGTTTATTAGACCTTCAGGAATCCGGCACCATCGTCTCCGTTGCTGACCTCCTGAGCGTCGTCATCTTCGTGCGTGTTATCCTCGGTGAAGTCCTGAGGAGCGAGCGAACGTTGCAGGGAGCCAACGACCCTGTTGAAGACAATGGAGGCCCCACTATCCAGCTCCCCGTTCTGCGACGTCTGCGTGCCTGTTCCAGGCTCGTTGAGCGGCAGCGCTCCGCGCTCGGAAGCCTGGAGGTTTATCAGGAAGCGAGAGACCAGGATCGCGGTGATTCTGAGCACATAATAAGCTAAGAATCGTTGCTCATACGATGAGAACCCGCTGACGTACGGGGTCTCGAAGATACTGATAGCGCTCAAGTTTTGCAATGATTTGATGTTGAGCACCTAGTTCCTCGTACGTCAGGTGAGTTTTGACACGTTGACTGCTTGTACTTACAGAGACCAGCGTGAAGGCCATATGCAGGCAGTTCAGAATGAGCATGATTCTAGTGATGTGACTGCCCGTTAGAGTGGTATATTACGGAGACGGAGTAACTACCTACAGAAAGTAGATGGTACCTGAAAGACAGCAGTCAGTCGTCGGGTAGGAATGAAATAGACTCTACACTCACCATCGCGAAGTAAGACATCGGTAAGGCTGATGCCCTTGGAACCTCCCCACCGACGCAGGCCGCCTTGTCGTGCTAGCTGAGTCCATGTGATGACAAGCAGCAACGCGTCTGTCACAATCACTGCCAGGCGAGAGACTATGACAACTTCGGACGCTAGTCAGCCAATGGTTTGCGAAAAGGGCGGAGAAAACAATGGTGACGAACATCTATGAGAGAGTATGTCAATGGTATGATGTGTAACATGCGTGTATAACGCACTTTCGGGAAAGAGCGACTGGGATGAGATTATAGCCGACACAGCTAACAACCGGAACAACGAAACCGCCGAGTCCGAACTTGAAGCAGGCCTATCGGAGATGAGTTGGTACCCCTGCTGAAGAAGTCGCTTGTGTTGAATTGGAGACTTACGAGGTTTATGCCAATGGGAACGATGGATAAAACGAATATGAAGCAAGCCAGGGGCATGTTCCTACTTAAGCCATACGCCCGTAAGGCGGAGAAGGCTGTTGTGAGGCAAAGCGGCTGTCAGGCAATTGCTACACTCGGAAAAAGGAGTCGACTAACCACCCCAAGGGAAGTTTCCAAAGACCTCGAGGACGAAGAGCGTTGTCATATCTCTCGTACAACTAGTAAGACGTTCGATTAGAGCCACCGATTAGACCAAGAAGTGTGAAACAACAAACGTCTATTGAGTTCTCAGAAAATTATTCACAGATAGAATACGAGGCTAAAGGAGAAACATACCTCTGCAGATCGACGGTAAGCAGGGTTGAGGACGATCCATTGATACATACAGAACGCAAGATTATAGTATCTGTTCATATAGTAGAGAATAGATGGGCCAGTAGCCCTCTTTTTCCAAATGTATTTGGCCTCGTCGTCCAGAGTGATGAGATATTCGAACATAAGCATAGCTGTTTTGTGATGTAGTCGAACGTCAGATCCTTCACAAGGGCTGAATACTCTACCCACTCGAGACTGCAGCCCCGCAAAGGTCAACGTTCTTGAAACTGTAGAAGAGCGTTACTCAGGTACAGGTCAGTATGCGATACCAAAGATGGAAACATACACGGTCTCCACACCAGCGGCGGTGATGCTAGCCATCGGGATGAAGGGTTTGCTGAGGCTCAGAGGAGAATTTCGTGTCGCTGTGACCCGAGCCATGACGCCTTATCCTCTTATACTGCCTGTTGTACACCAGGTGGATGCGAATCAAGAACCATGTAAGACAAGAGTTCTTTTCTCCGACGTACGCGGCTAGACACGAAAGCGCTGTCGAAGTCAATTAGTTGCCCACGGAGGCGGCGGCTCCGTGGTTTATTGGCGTCTTGGAGATGTTCGAATCCCACCGCATTTGACACAACCAAACTCTACGTTGGTCTGTGATCTCACAGATCAGTCATTGAACGCAATGTAACACCTTCCTTGGGGCAGTGTGGTAGGGTTGACATGATGGAATACGTCTCTTGGACCGCTGGTGCATCATATCCCGGAGGCTTTGTAGCGGCTGAGAAGATAGCAGACCGATAAGTGCTGCTGGCTCCCACCGTCAAGGGGTGGGACCTGTGTGCAACATTGCCTTCGTTATATCACTAAGGCTCGTTCGCGGAGATGACGACTATACGGTTCCCCTGGCATCAGCAATCCATTGCACAGGTGGCAGATTTGCGGCCCTATTCCATCAACTTCTGAGCTTCGATATACTTACAAATAGGGATGATCAGCGTCAGATTGCGCAATGAGTCTATCCACAAAACGGGAGAAACCGGAAATGCACCTACGCGTCGAGGAGAAAGCCAGAACTAACGCGCAATGTTCGCAAAGGAAGAACACGGTGTAGATCCTCCATAATGCTGAAATGAGGGTTTCAAAGTGATTGTATGAGACGAATTCGGCTGAGGAGTCATCATGATCAAACGTACATTATCAATGCTACTGTGAGAAGATGATGCTAACTATGCATCAGCCGCGACCAAGCCAGGACTAGAACAGTACTCCCCCATATTGGCCCATCTTCACCGTGCGACGAAAACTTCAGATCTGGGGAATACCGTGTTGCGTCCCTTTTAGAAGGTATAGTGACACGACAAGGGCCGGTTCATAATGCAAGAGAGATCCCAGGCACACGACACGATTGTACGACCGAAGCTAGCCCCATGACTTCGGGCTATGCATCATCCCCACTTGCTGCTGCCCGCAGCAGCAGCTCAATCACCTCATACCCCGCGGATCTCGCCGAAGAGCCCTCTCTCCCATCTGCCCCTTCTGGCATCCCATATACCTTGGGGGGATCGTTCGAAGTGTCGTCCAAGTCCTCACCTTCCCCGAAATAGTCCTCCGGCGAAAGGGACTGATCCAGCGAACCCAGGACGCGGCCAAACCGGATCGAGGTGGCATCCGGAAGGCTCGTGCTATCAATGGTGAACGATGCAGCCGATTCTGCGACGGTCCTATGTTTCGCGGATTGAAGATGTAGCAGAAATCGAGAGACCAGGATCGCAGTCAACCTGACATGTGGCGTCACAAGGTGAGTACGGGGCAGCTCATACGGAGGTGGTGCTACCAACGGCTCGGCGAAGAGGGATACGAAGCTCGCTTCTTGCAAAGAGGGGCCGTTCAACTGGGAGCCAAGTCAGTTTTGCGTTCCAGAGACAGCGTGTGCTGGAGACGACGGACCTGGGACAGCTCAGTTAGAATGAGATGCAGAGAGTTGAGTGCAAGCAGAGTTCTGTCAGGTGCGGCTTCAGAAGGAAACTATGTGATTGCGAGCGATTGACAGGCGTACAGGAAATATATCATTCCTGTGCAGATCCGCCATTAGAGGCAGCATCAGATATATTGGGGATGTCCACTCACCATCTCGCAGTAATACCGTAGAGAATGTGTTAGTACTCAGCCGCAGTCGCTTTGGTCGCGAGACAGAGCGCCAAGTGATCACGACGAGAACGCAATCGGCTATTATCAGTGAAAGCCGAGATACAAGCGTGACTTGATTGCCAAAGCTTTGTCAGTGCTCTGATTGAATCTGATTGAAACATGGATGAGCTGCTAGTGGATGGCGTACAACTATGGAGAGGTAAGCATGAGCGAGCGACGATGGTATGGATACTGACTCTCGCGTGACCGAGGCAGGCGTGAGGACGTTGCTAGTGCACCCCAAGAAGGAAACATTGAGGCCTGTTAGTCCGTACCAGAAGTTTGCCTACGAGCGTCGCGGCGCTGGCGGCGGTTAGTAGCTGCATAGATATTGACAGTAAGACGTACCCAATTGACCACAATGGGAACTACAGAAAGACAGAAGATAAGTATCGAGAGTATCCGACTTCTACACAGTGCATATGCGCGCATCCCGGAAAAAGCTGATAGCATTACTGGTAAGGCGGGATATCAATGATGAGAAGACACTACACACCTGCCCATGGAAGATACACCAACATCTCTATCACGAACGTCGTCTGCACTACATGGGTACATCTGTGGTTGTCACGGGTGAAGTAAGTACTTGCACACACGATGGAATGGGATTCCATTTACATCTACGGTTATGTATCAGAAAGATCTTCAGTCCTCTTGACAGTGAGGAGAACGTACTCTGTCAGACATTCCAGGAATGTAGCCCATCATGGTGTAGACAAACGACAGCAAGACGAGATATTTGTTCAGGTAGAACAAGACGGCAGCGCCTGTGAGTCTCCCCGACCAGAAATACCGTGCTTCCTGGCTGGTGATGATGAGGGACTCGTAGATAATGAGAGCTGTGGTATGTCAATGGACGATTGACAGGTTGGGAATATTTATGAGATATTCACTCACCGGTAGCTGCAATCTCGCAATAATTGTCGATGACACTGAAGTAACGTATGTTTCAGCACTTGCTTCCTTCAGACCGCGATAAGGTACGCACACTCCTGCATACTCCGCAACAGATATAGTTGGTGCATCACGAGACATCGTAGTAGAATGACACAAGGAGCGGGAAGGACTAGTGGAGCAGACGCGGTGGCGGCGCGGCACCGACAAGCAGAAGGTATGGTCAAACCCAAGCGAGCTATAAGGCTCCGGAGATGATGGAGCACGGGGCTTGTCACGGACTCGACATCCCGATCGCTATCAAACCTGTGAAGCTCGTTGCCTTATACAGCTGCATAGAACGCACATAACTGCGTACCAGAGTGGTCGAACTGGATCCGTGAACGACTCGCAGGATGCAATAAAAGGATGCAGTAAAAAGGATGCAATACCAGCGTCGTGAATTCTGAACTGGCTGGACATACCTCAGAAAGTCAACGATACCTCACCGTCCACCTGATAATACCCGAAAGAAGTGCTCTGTGTGCGACGCCCGGATGGGAGAAGCGCGGTGCTCGGTCACTGGTGTTCTTATCTATGGCGTTACGCAATATCTCTCACAGGCGCTAACCTTCATACTCCACCGAACGGTTGCGAATGCGATCATCGATGTAGCTTCGCCCTTGAGGCGGCCATATGTTGTTCCTTTCTGGAGACGCTCTCCCACAAGGACATGTCGCAAATTGAGCTTCTACTTATATCTTTCGGTCTAGAACCTCCAGCAGCGTCCAAGTGCGGCCTTCGATGATGCATGGCCACTAAGAGAAAGATGGCGAAGCGGACCTACCGCTGGAGCGTTGACCACATCCGTCTAGACTGGGGAGGTCTATACCCACAAGCTTCAGCAGCAGACAGGAGGTTCGGAGAGATGAGCGATTGGTGATGACAGTGCAAAATCAGGCCACCGGGCCTGGAGGAGTCCGAAGTCCGATGGAATGGTAGGCGCCTTGTCCACGTGGCCGTCTCTCGGACGTCGCAAACCACGGTCACCATAGCCTGAGTACTTGACCCACCGTTAGTACTTACCATCGTACAGCGGACTCTCGTTGTGATTTGCCGAACTCCGCTGACTCTCACCTCGCTTCCAAGATCATGAGGGGTCAGAGTCTATGCTCCAGTGCCGCACATACCGGCTAGTGCCGCTAGAGCTTTGCTTCTTCGTGACCGGTTTAGCGCTTCCTCCGACATGCGTTCTTCAACTTTCTTTCGCACCTCGGGACGACATACGTCGCAAGGCCAACCTTACAGCTTCGCCTCATTGCTCGAGATTCGGCCATAAGTCTGTATCTGGCGGTAGTGCTCCTGCTTTGTCATGGTATCTGTAACTATTGGATTGCATCGGAAATCTGTTTCCCTCATGTCTCCACGTCAGGTGGGTCAGTCATCACGAGCATTGGTCTGCTTGCTTCTGAGGTTGAACGGCGCCAGATGGTTGTTATCACCAGTCGTTCATGTCCTCAGTTGACTGGATGGTCTTGTGCTGGGACATTTCCTTCCGCTGGTCGGTTCTTCCGCCGGTCGACGTGTTCTTCGCCAAAAAGGGCACATATTTGGCCAGTAGTACGCATGGGTTTCAGAAATCCTATTCAGCGTCAACATTGTAGGTTGAAAAGATCTGCATATTCTTCTATTCACATGCGGATCGCGCACTGAGTAGGATCATTACGTTGTGCCAGATCTCAGGCAACATAGGATGTTACCTCCCATCCTCGCCTCAAGCGCTCCGGGGTGGACGTCTCAATTATCACATATCTTGATTGCGCAGTCCAGCCGAGTCCGGCTATGTGGGAGAGAAGGTACTGCTCCTGGCGAGAAGGACGCTTAGTGGATTCGGTGTATTGTGTGCACGGCATTTGCCCTGAGGGAGAACGAGGGTCCTACACTCTGAACGGATGATATGTCCTGATTACGACGATATCCCTGTTGTGTCTAAACAGCTCCCACGACGTCTCGCGATCTCGGCGGTGGAGGCATTCGAGTGATGCATACTTAAGGAGCGCAGAAAGAGGTCAGTAAACCCATCATCCCTTCGCCTTTCAGTGTGCTTCCTTCACTCGAACAATGTCTCAGCAAAAGACCACCAAAGAGGCTCACGTCGACGTCCTCATCATTGGTGCTGGGCCCGCCGGCATGGTGTGCGCGAATGCGCTTGTCCAAGCCGGCGTGAACGTTCGCATCGTCGATCAACGGTGAGCGTTGTCCATGCCTGTCAAGTCGACTTTGACAGACCTTTGATGCCGATGCTAGACCCGAAGGCCTGATAGCAGGCCAGGCTGATGGTTGCCAGCCTCGTACACTCGAGGTTATGCAAGTACGAGGACCGAGCTTTCCCCATCCTCTCTCTTAGTGACGCTGATTCGTGCTGGCACGTAGAGTTACGGTCTGGCGGAGAAGATGTTCAAACGGGGAGAGCATCTACACAAGTCGGTCAGCACACTCTCGCGCAGGTTCTCTGTGAATCCGCCGAACCTGCTTTCTCTTCTAGGTGTTCTACAATCCCAGTCCCAATGGCGGCATAGAGGTAAGTCACCAAACTCAGATTAGCTGCAGGACTCAACGACGAATGTGCGATAGAGAACGACACGCTCCGGGTCGATCAATGCTCCCAGCGCACGATGGGAGTATGGGGCAAGTGTTCCGCTAATTGACCTCCCGCCATCTCTGACATGGGCTTGGGGCCGCAGGTTACTCTCCACCAAGGCGGCGTCGAGCAGATTTTTGAGGAGGCCATGATAGAGAAAGGAGCTAGGGTGGAACGCTCGACCATACCCACGGCGATCGAGCTGTCGGAGAACGCAAACGATTTGCAGGATCCGAATGCGTACACAGCAAAGGTGCGCCTCTTCGAAAACCTATACGGCAATCTGAAATCATACTGAAGGAGATATGAATCAGGTTACGCTCGACCGTCTGGATCGTAAAGAGGACAATACGGAGATTGTGCATGCGAAGTTCGTTCTCGGCTCTGATGGGGCCCACTCATGGGTCCGTAGGATGCTCGGTATCAACATGGAAGGCGACAGCACAGGTACGCCTGCCATAGACGTTTATCTTCACTGGATCCCACAGCTGCCCTGTTGCTCACGATGGCGCATGACGTCTCAACGAATACGTAGACTCCATCTGGGGCGTGGTCGACATGGTCCCTGACACGAATTTTCCGGACATCCGCGCACAGTCCTTCGTGCATTCACACGATGGCACACTCTTCATCATCCCACGGGAGCGCGACCAAGTTCGCCTGTATGTCCAGCAAGGAGCGGACAGCGACGTCATCGACCCCATCACCGGGCGAGTAGATAAGAACCGGACGAGCCCTAAGAAGATACTAGCACAAGCACGCAAGATCCTAAGCCCGTACCGGATCGAAGTGAAGGATGACAAGGTCCCCTGGTGGACTGTTTACGTCGGTGAGTGTCACCGTCTGACTTTTCTAGACCTGCGCTTGCTTATAGGCATGCACAGTCGGACAGCGGGTTGCTGAGAAGTTTGCTATCCGTGACCGCGCGTTCATTGCCGGGGACGCATGCCACACACATTCGCCAAAGGCTGGTACGGGCGCAAAGGCTTCATCAGTAACTGTTCACTACTGATCAGTATGACGGTCTTCAGGTCAAGGGATGAACGCAAGCATGGCTGATTCCCATAACCTTGGTGGGTACAGTATATCCCTGCTTTGACCTTTTGTTGATGTCATCTTAGCTTGGAAGTTGACATATGTCCTGAGAGGCTGGTCCCCAATCTTCCTTTTGAAGACGGTAATTAGTCCACGGCCTTTTGATCCATGAGCCAGTGAAATGATGATCAACTCGCCTAGTACGAGTCAGAACGGCGAGCATATGCTCAGGCCCTGATCAACTTCGATAAGGGCTGGTCGAAGCTCTTCACCGCGAAGCCCCGCACTGAAGAGAACCAAGACGGGATCACGCACGAACAGTTCCTCAAGTATGCTCTCCTCGCGTTCTGCGATTAATATGCATCTAATGTGCTCCGGCTTGACAGCGCATTCAAGACATTCAGTGGATTTACATCTGGCATAGCTATCCACTATGGGCCCTCGGTGATAGTCGACGTCACATACCAGACTCTCGCGAGCAACCTCGTTATCGGCGAGCGAATGCTCCCGCACATCTTTATTCGGGCAGCCAATGCGCAGCCTGTTGAAATTCAGGACTTACTCCCGGCGGACACTCGATTCAAGATCCTCGTCTTCGCTGGAAACCTCTCTATCGACAAGGACAAGGTGAAGTTGCAGACGCTCGCAGCGGCGCTGGACAAGCCCGAGAACTTCTTGAAGCGATATGGGCGCGGAGATGTGGAGAAATGGGAGGTGTTCGATGTGCTGTGCTTCAGCTCTGCGAAGCAGGATCAGGTCGACTACCTTGGTAAGTAGCTTCTCTATCTTAACGGAGTGCCTTCCCTGACTGCCTGGCTTGTCTACCAGATTTCCCTGAGTTCTTCCGCCCCCACTACTCGAGGTGAATATCCACTTCTTTCGTTGAGAGTCTGAAGCTGACCCCTTATCATACTATTCGTAGGGTATTCCTGGATGACGAAGATATGCACGGACGCTCGGGAGGTGGTGGATACGCCAAGTACGGCGTTGACCAGAGCGCGGGAGCGATCGTAGTTGTGAGGCCGGATGGATATGTTGGAACCATTGCGTCTCTCGACGGCGTGGACTTCATTAACACGTACTTTGCTGCGCTCTTGGTCTAGCGCACCACCCAACTCGGGTCCTATTTCTGGCCAACATCATTCGTAACGCCTTCCATGTCATGTACATAGCGATTCATCGAGAGAGCTGAAGTCAATATCGATGACCATGTTTCTTATCCCTATACCTCTCCTGTCCTACATTCTGCGAGGGCTCGTAGTGATGTGAATACAGACATCACAGATTCGGGCAACTCGAAACTTGCATTCAGGACTAACACCGGTGAATCCATCGTAATCAGAGCCACTGTAGGATCATTACCTGGTTGGGTGTCCCATCGCAACCCCCTTTGGAAGTTTTGGTAAAATAGTGTTATATGCTGACCACAATCATTGTGCAGGGTGGGGCAAGTGTGAGATTAGGATAGGACACGAAGAGATATGGTTGTCTCAACGTGGCTCAGGTTACGATGCTTCTATGCCGGGACACGGCGTCCTACAGCTCAATGCTCCCGGTGTGAAGCTCAATATCGTTCGTCCCCGATCAGAGCGCTGTCCTGGGGACGAACAGCCGCCAGAGCGTGTTCTAAGAGACGCATGTTACTTAGTGGCCACAGAAAGAAGGCACGCGTTGATTTGACGTTCATGCGGCGAACGAGAACAGCCCATTATGGAATCACCGGGCCAGTTGCGACGAGCACACGAAAGCAGGCAGAGCATCAATCTAATTTGGTGAACAGACACAAGGTCATTTTACAACAAGCATAATGCTAGAATACGCTCCAGGAAGCTCCAAACTCGTAGTTCATGCAGAGTGCTCTGGCTCTGAACCTTCCGGGACCGTCGAAGGACGGGAGGGAAGAGCGGCGTGTCGATGAGAAGGGGATGAATGCAAGACAGAAGATGGGGACAGATGTTCTACAATAGGCGATGTAGACGCAGAGTGTTGCTGCTGTGTCTGCGTCTCCTTGTACTTCTCGGGCGTCTTCGGGAGCCGCAAGTTCAACGCCTCCAGGTCCTGCGCACCTTGAACGTGTATCGCGTTCCTCCGCTGCGGTCCCGGCCTCTGCCATCTTGGCCGAGACTCACGCAGTTTCCTGACGGCGCGCGCGGAGGCCAGACGTCGTTTCCAGTGACTTGGCAAGCTCTCCGTATCAGACACAAGGCCCGTCTTGGGAGGCCCGTCAAGTCGTACGTGGTCCAGTATGCGCACGAGATTTATGCTGATCAGGTCTGGGTCGAGCGCCGCTAGCTCCTCGAGCGCGAGGAGGATGTAGCCGGATTGTCCCGAGCCGAGGGCATTCGTGCCATGGTCGGATGCCGTTAGATAACCCTCCAGATCCTCCAAGATTCCTTGAAGATCGTCGCGGATCTTGTTGAAGACGATGAGCGGCAGGTCTGGGCGTGTTGAGAGGCTGAGGGCCATCTCGCAAGCAAGGTGAAAAGTATTGACTTCGTCCGCTTGTTTTGCCAGGCGCGCAAATTTGATCAGGCTTTGTATCACTGGGATTTCGGGTCAGATTTTGACAAAGTCAGATCGCGGAAACTGTCACGTACCAGAAGAGGCCACGGGAGCCTCCATCTTTCCCCACAGACTTCGCATGAGGTCGAACGAAGCCCTCTTGATCGACTCCTCATGAACGAGGAACACCGAGAGACTCTCGAACAGACGCTGATAAAGATAGATCGTCTCGCTGCGATGCTTGAAGTCCTCGAATGGAATCGCACGACAGAGGCGATCCGCTATCAACAGCGTCTTCTCGATACTCGCCACTTCGCCCTTGGCAATCCTGGGCAAAACGTCCGCGACCAAGTGCAGAAGCAGGGCGACTCCCCCATATACGTCTTCAGCGTGTCTCCAGTGCGGAATTCCATCCATCATCCCGTCCGCACGGTGGTAGATGATCTCGTGGAGACAGTCGACTGCCGCAGGCTCCTCCGTGTCGCTGATGCACGCGCGGACGACGCGCTCGAGGAACACGTCATCCATGAACATCGCGTCGGCACCCGCAAGGATACGGTGGTCCAGCTTGGCCTCTACCTCGCGGGCGATGGCTTTCTCGCGTTCTCGCCAGCTCCCGAAGTACTTACGGTGGACCAGACTTCGCAGCCAACCGGAGACGATACGGCTGCGGTGCCTAAAGAGCGATGTCTCGACGTAGATGGGCCACTGCCTGCGATCCCAGCCTAGGAAGGAGTAAAGACGGCGAGCGAGGTAGGATAGGAGACGCATGAAGGCCTGGGCTGTGAGAAAGACACCCATAGCCTGAGGGGACTTGTACGGACAATCGCCTCGCAGGGTAGGCAGTAGTGTCGTGAAGACGAGGAAAGACAGGGATATGGTGACTAGCACAGTCACAACGCCAGCTACAGCAGGGTGTAAGCTCCAGAGCAAATCGAGCAGCCCGGCAAAGAACAGGGCCATCGCGATCTGCAGTAAGATTGGCAAGAGAGCGATGGTGAGGGGGATATGCCAGCGGATGAACCCGTCGTGACGTAACTGCCGGATACGGGCATTCTCCCGATGAGAGCTCGCGGTGTTGCTGATGTATTCGCGGAGCCATTGCTTGGTGAGAATGCCGATAGAGGCTGAGACAAGGCTCAGGACTAGACTAGAGAACCAGAGGATGTTGATTCGAACAGCTCGAGAACTGACGTGGAACGTGGGAGGGCTAGTTGACGGCGAGCTAGGGCCATTAGCAGAGTTACCTGCCAACTGAGCAGAAATCCGCGCAAGCAGGGCTGCGGAAGTTTCCGTCGGGTCCTGTTGTAGGAGTTTGTACGACTCGATGTTGAACGCGGTCAGGACAGCAGAAAAAAGACCGGACTGATTCCGGGACATCAATGGATATATAGTCTGCGTGACAACGCAAGGCTACTCACAAAGACTAGCAGACTATCAATGTCCTCCTTCCAGCCTCTGACCATATGTTCGTCATAATCGCGAAGGGCTTTGACGCAACTCCCCCACGCGTCATTTGGCCCTGGTCCGAATGATGGAGGCAAGACACTGCTCGTCACGTCGGGTCCGTCACCAACTACGCCGTCTGCGTGTGTCTACGCCGCGCAGTGGAAAGCGACAGTCAATCAGTTCCTGCCAAATTTGATGGGAGACCACTCACCGCTCGGCGTGTATGCTGCTCGCTGTGGAAGCTGCGACTCCCACTACTGGAGGGTTGGAGGATAACGGTGGCCTGCGCAACAGGCGCTTGTATGATCCGGATGTAATGTGCAGAGTCGAATGGTGCAAAGGCTCCAATGTGCGATAGGTGTGAGGGTTCAGCAACATCAGACCTTGAATCATAGCCCGACTCTGCGAGATCGGAACGACCGGTATCAAGGTCTCTCTCTGATGCGATCGAGGATGACGATACACTAGTCAATGGGATTGGGGATGCTCTCCGACTGACGGGATTAGATGAGATATGGAATGACTGGGGCAGTGGTCAGTCGAATCATGCCGTAATGTCACGTTCGTGTCTGGGAGCGCACCTCGAAGTCCAGCGAAGATCTATCCGCCGCGGCGCGAGCAACCATGCTTCGGTGACTCTCAGCCGAGGATTAGAGTGGCGAAGTGTTAAGAAGAGTTTGAGCGATCTGGACGCATTGACGGAGTCCCCCAGATCCGCGCCTTCCTACCGATACTTTGGTTGCGCGTCCCACGGTGTACAGCCAATGTGGACAGCGCCATCACCAGGTCGTGATAAAACCACCTATGTAAGTGGGTCAGGTCCATTCCACAAAGTGACTGCGTACGCAACCGCAAGCAGTGGAATCCAGTGCGGTACATTGTGCACGGTCTAGCCGTTTGCGTCAGTGATCATGGTTCTGCTGTGCATCAAAGTGGTCAGACACACGACTTTCGTGAGACAATCATTGCCTACCTAGTACATCGAGCAGATCTCCATTCAGTGTGAAGCCTCGTACATCGCAACATGCCACGTCCCAATACCGTGCTAGCAAGTAGAGGGACACAAAATAAGCGGCTTTGAACGGAGACAAATCTGACACAGTGGTGGTGGTACGGCGCTAAGGGAGAAGCTGGGCAGGTCGTCAACTCGATCACGTGGCCTAACGCGGTGGTCGAACCGCGCCTGCTCGACACTGTCGCTAACGTTGACCTCGCCATCAACCTCGACCCGGACACTCTACTCACCACCAGCAGCTCGGCCGCCTCCGCTGGCTACCCCGTGAGCTCGCGCTATGAATGCACGCACACCGAAGAGACTTGTCCACTGGGCTCTTGACGCGTCTCTTTCTGACCTCGCCTCTCCTGCTTTCTCTGACGCTGGTTCCTCTGAGTCCTGCACTTCGACGTCTAGTTTACAGTATGTTAATTCCCAGCTTATTGCTCATGGTTTTGTGCACGATACTGGATTGTCGCTGGATGGACTGGCGAAAGCCGACGCGGATAGGGTAGTCAAGTGCATACTTGGGATGCTGAGCCAACGAATCGTGAGTGCTCTCTATGCGTCGCATGATTACTCCGCTACATGGTGTGCAGGACGACATGACACGTACAGAGGACCTCACGACAAAACTCCGTACTCTCTCCTACGACCACGAACGCCTCACGTCAATGTACAAGACGGAGAAGGAAACCGCCGCCAATGCCGAACGTGAGATGAACCTCCACAAGTCGCGTGCAAGGTCGGTTTTTCTTGCTTTTGCACATAGAAGTATCGTGGGAAGTACACTCTATTCTAACACTTACTCCTCCCCAGTACCGCCTCTAAGTCCCTCCTATCCTCCGAAAACGCGCACAAACACACGACTGCCGAGCTTCAGCGCACTCGCACCTCCCTCCATGCCCTCCGCATCGCACACCAAACCGAGATCAAGAAGCTCGAGAAAGAGAAGGAGCGCATGCTCGAGCGCTGGACCAGGCTCTCCGACTCGCAGCTCAAGGCGGGCACGCTCCCAGCAGGGCTGACTCTGATGTGCGCGAACCAGGGCGTGGTGGACGCGAACGAAGTGCAGCTACGCGGGAAGGGGCAGGGCTTTTTGGACGTCGCGCTCGAGCAGGCGGAGAACGCGCGGAAGGAGCTGGTAGAGCAGAATAGGAGGCTGAGAGGGGTGCTATTGAATGCCGCGAACGAGCTGCACAGTTTGTTGCACGCCGCTCGGACGGCAGGGGACGCGGATGCTCCGTCAGAGGTACGCGGTTTCTTCTAGCGGACCTGCTTTGACTCACGTCTTGCAGCCCGAACTGCTCTCCAGTAACGCCTTGTTCCAGAGCCAGCCCGCTGAGTCGGCCGGCGATTGTCTCAGTAGCCTGTTCCAATCGTTACGCGAGACTATCTCGCAGAAGGCAGCTTCGAGCACATCATCATGCAACTGCCTGCGAAGGGACTCCTCTTCGCCTTCGACACAAACACAAACACAAACAACACCTGCCAGAGCACAAGACGGTGCAGAGATTGAACGTCTCCAGGCTGTCATCGATAAGCTGCGTGCAGATCTTGGTATGTTGCCATCCATGCTTCACGCTCCACCTTTGGAATGCTTACAGGCATACAGACGAGTCGCAGAAGCAAGCCGCTGCGTCGGCCGCGCAGACGCAGGAACTCTTCGACCGTTACGCGGAGGACCAGAGGCTGGCAGCCAGCAGCGTGGGAGAGATGAGCGTTGACTTGATGACCGCTCCCGCGCGGGATGAGGAGAAGCAGCGCCTGGACGCGAGGTTCAAGGAACTCGAAGAGGAGCGCAGGAAGTTCACTGAGGCAGCCGTGAGATTGGGCAAGGAGAAGGCCGCACTCGAGGTATGGCATCTCATTGTGAAGTGCTCCTTGTTGGTGTCTGACTGCTCATTCGCGTCAAAGGCTGAGCGACTGAAGCTGCTCGAGGAGAAGCGCTCCTGGGAAGTGGAGATGATGCTCGCGGAGCTGCCACCGACTCCCGCTCCTGTAGCGAGTCCTTCAAATCCATCTATACCTGCAGCGCCCCCTTCTGTTGTCGCGCGGAGGTCACCACGCAAATCGCCTCGGAAGCTGAAAGGCAAGGCTGCGAGTCCGCGCAAGACGCGTGTCTCGCGACGTTCTTCAGGTCTCGGCGTACTGCTTTCGCCCAAGGCCAAAGCCCCGCAGAAGGGCAAGGTCGTACCGGCATACGAAACGGAGGTTATCCCATCAACAATACCGCCTTCCCCGGTCAGGCCGCCTCCAGAGTTCAAGACGAGCATGGCAGTCCCAGCTCCCCCCTCTCCCGCATTGCTCACAAGCACCTTCGTTCTCCCTCCGCCTTCCCCAGCCGCGTCATTCCCATCACGAGAAGAAGGTGGCGGGACCCACCTGCCGCCTGTACCCCCACTTCCCAGACTCGAGATACCCCCTCTGCCCGAAGATACCTCCGAAGACGACATCATGGACACCACGCACGAGCCTGCATCCTCTGCGTCTTCATCCTCACTACCCAGTGCCTCCGCTTCCTCTTCCACCTCCACCTCTTCTCGAGCCCCTGCCCCCTTCCCAAGCACGCCAGGAGCTCGTCCATTCCCTATGGCGAAACCCCTCGCACAGCGCATGGTTCACGCGTACTCGCCCGTCAAGCCGAGTCCTCTCAGTCGTATCCTCATGCTAGCCCGCTCCCCCGACAGCCCCCCTGTAACGGCTCTCGACGCGCTCGCCGAGGTCGACGAGAACGCGATGGACCTGGACGTCTCGCACATCCCTGCGCACGCAATGCAGCCTAGCAGGACCCTCGCGGAGGAGTTGGGCGTCTCGGAAGATGATGATAACCCGTTGCGCGAGAAGCCGGCGCCTGCGGATAAGCCGAAGGTCGTGGAGAAGGGTAAGGGGAAGGCGAGGGCAGACGCGGCCCCGCAGGTGCAGGCGCAAACGAGGACATCGCGCGCGCGTGCAGGTGGGGCGCTAGAGAAGGAGAACGTGAAGCGTGCGAAGCTCAACCCTCCTACTGCTGCTGCGACTGCCAGCGGAAAGGGTGCGGCTGCGTCGAAGGATGTCAAGAAGCCCCCGAGCAAACCTGCCAATGGCGTTAGTACGCGCGCGAGGACAGCGGCTGCTGGAGGGAGGGGAACGGTGGTGAAGCCCCCGAGCAAGGGCGGGCCGAGGAGAGTGCCGATTGGGAGCGTGGAGGCTGCACCGGTGCCGAGCTGGCGGAGATAAGTTCTGAGTGTATGTTCGATTTCACGAGCATATGTGTGTTATGCGTCGGACAACGATCGCTCTTTGGGGGTTCAAAGAGGAGCGGAAGTCTACGATTGCAGGTTACACTCGGCGAAGTTGCCCTAGACGCAGATGACCAACGTTAGTACGTCTCCCGCAGTCCAGTTCTTTCACAGCGGACAATCTCCTGTAGCGTAATGATGTGGATACAAGGCGCGATAGTCTGTGGATGATACTGCCCTGTAGACGGTCGGGGCAGGCCTGTGTCACCCATATCAGACTAGAATGCCTGTACCCGAATTGGGAACCCGCCGACATATGCACTTTAAACTAGGCTTGTGGGAGCAGGCTCCCAAACGCCCTCGAGCTCCACAGAAACTCAGTAAGGAACTTGTCCAGAATGCGAATCCGCCGTTCGGTGGCTAGTAGCGTCGATGACTTTTTGCCGATCCCCTCTGGAAGTATGATGTCGTGACGACTCTGACGAGACCACATCTATTTGCCGCCGGGGTAGTCTGTAACTCGACTTCACTGACTTATGGTGCAGTGCTGGAGGCATAGTCTATTCAGGCCTGCCATATTTTGAACAACAAGAGTGAAAACGAAGGGTGCAATGCATGGTCGTTAAAACAAACAACTTGAAGCGGATGCCACGGCCCACGGGTATGTATTTCGAACTCCGTTTGCCTCCGCTCGGGACTCCCCGATGGCCATGGCCCTCCTTCAAAGCTTCATACTTTACTTCAGGCCTCGACATCCATAGCTAGCGGTTCAGAGGCTCATAGCATCTCGCACATGACCAATCATATTTTGATTGCTGCAGCACTCCGCTCTCCTTCATAGAGAAGCCTGTTACACATGAGGTTGTACTCGTAGAGTACGTGCAAGGCAGTCTTCGCTCAATCCTCAAGCTCATCACTGTCCTTCAAACAATGTAGGACGCATATTGAGAGAGCAGAGCGAGTTTTCGTGGCAGATGTAGCATGTGAGTAGTTTCCGTAAGAGGTAAGCTCTATGCTTACCGCCAGCGTTGTTCGAGATGATCCGGACTATGCTTCGATATACACACGGAGGAACCGTGCGTGGAGATGTTGGGCCTGCTGCGAAACCAATAGAGACGCTCCGCTGTTATTTGCCCCTGCGCAGATCTCTCAAACACCGCACCTATAGTACTCAACTGTGCGGCTAGATACAGCAATGCCGCGATGCCCTATAAGAGTAAGGGTCTGGATGCTCTTCTGGGTATCACCGCGATAGAGTAAGAGTTAACTGCAACCGAAGCCGATGATAAGGGCATCCTCCCAACATTGCCTTAGTCGTCGTGGAGTCAAAATACCTTCGGACCGCAAGGAAGCTCGACTCAACAGGGTATGGCAAGGATGCCAGCTCATATAAGCTAGACGTTCTCTCACCTTGGTCTTTCCGTTACACCTCAACTATCATGCCTCTCTCACCTACTCCCGGCAACAAGGTCGATGTCCTGATTATCGGCGCCGGCCCCGCTGGCCTCATGGCTGCTAATGCGCTCGTCCATGCAGGAGTGACGGTACGTATCGTGGACAAGAAGTAAACATCTTCCTGTCAATGTTCCAATGGTTGGTGACGTCGCAATCTGAAGGACCGTTCCCGTCACCGTTGGACACGCGGATGGTATCCACCCGCGCACGATTGAGATTCTCCAGGTGAGCTCGAACAATTGCACTCAATGCTGCCTATCGCTTACCCTGACTCAGAGCTATGGGTTGGGCGAACGCCTACAGCGAGAAGGCACTCGCTTCGATCGTGCCGTGAGTAGACGTGATTTGCTACTTCTCCAGACGTTACTATATACGTACACATTTTCAGGCATTCTATAATCCTGGTCCGAACGGAGGAATCAAGGTAATCTTCGTTCCTTCTTCCTCGCACAAGACCAACCCGTCCAGTAGAGAACACAGCGCACCGAGGCAATCTTCGCCCCCACAGCGCGATACCCTTTCCTCGTAAGCTCATACTCGCTTTTGACTGCTCTACTTTACAAATATGTCCTCGCACGCTCCAGGTCACCAGACATCAAGGAGGTATTGAGGCCCTCTTTCGGGACTCCATGGCATCCAAAGACGTGTTCGTTCAGCGCCCCGTCGTCCCTACGTCAATCGAGCTATCCGATTCCCGATCAGACCTCGTAAATCCAGATGCGTACCCCGTCAAGGTATGCATCACAATTCGAGGGCATCCTTTCATCACCCTCGCAATAAGTATGATTGAACGAGTATCAGGTAACCCTAAAGAATCTCGATTCTGAAGACGGCGATGAGGAGGTTGTCCAGGCGAAATTCGCTATAGGATCGGACAGTCAGTCAATTCGGCTTAAGATGACTCATGCCCATGCGTGACAGCCGTACTGACTGTGATGGGCAAGCAGGCGCACACTCGTGGACTCGCAAAGCGCTCAATATTGGCGTGGAAGGCGACCAGACGAGTGAGTCCTACAAGGCGCACCGCTCCTTCGATAGTTAGTGATCAATTGATTGCTGTGATGCAAACAGCCTCGATATGGGGCGTCGTGGACATCGTCCCTGATACGGACTTCCCCGACATCCGAAACTGGACATTCATCCACTCAAACCAAGGCACGCTCATGAACATCCCGCGCGAGGGCGACCTGATCCGCTTCTACATCCAGCTATCCTCAGACACAGACTTCGTAAATCGGGAGACGGGGAGGGTAGACCTGACCAAAGCGTCGCCCGATAGGATCATGGAGGCTGCGGCGAAGATCATGCAGCCGTACCGTGTTGTGAGGGTTGGGGACGTTGAGTGGTGGACGGTATACATCAGTGCGTAACACTGAGGATTGTGCATAGCAGGGGCAATCAGAAACTGATCAGGGCTGTTTGCTTTCGGGACATAGTCGGACAACGTGTCGCGCAGACGTTCTCGGTCAAGGATCGGGTCTTCATCGCAGGAGACGCCTGTCATACCCATTCGCCTAAAGCAGGTATGATCTAATATACTGAAATGTGGTCATCACTGATCATTTTACTGCGTATCGCAGGGCAAGGTATGAACGCAAGTATGTGCGACACGCATAACCTTGGTGACTATTCCCTTGTCTTAGACTCCACAATTCGTTCTCATCCCGGCCTGACGATGCACAGCCTGGAAGCTATCATATGTCCTTCGTGGGTGGGCTTCCATGTAAATTGTTCATGGCCTGACGCTCCATCTATAGTACGAATCTGAACGACTCAAGTACGCGCAGGATCTGATTGACTTCGACAAAAAGTGGTCCAAGATGTTCAGTGACAAGCCTCAGAGCGAAGATAATTTCGAAGGTGTCTCTCACGAGGAGTTCCTCGGGTGCGTATCCCTTCCCCACAACGCCATAGTCTTCAGCATAGCTGAAGCGTGCTTTCGTTCAACAGAATGCTCGCCAGCCAAAGTGGCTTCCTGAGCGGTATAGGGATCCGGTACGAGCCCTCCACCGTAGTCAACAACAAGCACCAAGCCTGTGCTTCGAAGCTCATCGTCGGCGAGCGCGTGACTCCGCGCGACTTCGTCTACGCGGCGAACGTCAACCCCGTCAATCTCCATGACGTACTTCCTTCCGATATGCGCGTCAAGATCCTCGTGTACGCCGGAGACATCAAGGTTGAAGCGAGTATGAAACGTCTGCACGCACTGGGCGAGAACATGGGTACCTCCAATAGCTTCTTGTGGCGCTTTGGTCAAGGCGCATACGAGAAGGTCTTTGATATGCTATGTATCTGCGCAACGAAGAAGGATGATATGGACTTTACGGGTAGGTTGGTCTCGCGGCTTACCTGGGTATATTGAACGGAGGTGATCTCTGTTTACTAGATGTACCGAAGTTCTTCCGATCACATTGGTCCAAGTAAGTCCTCATGCTCGCCTCCTTCCGGTAGCATGCGATAAGGTTGACTGTATTTGCCAGAGTACTACTCGATGATACGGACATGTATGGACGATCTGGCGGAGGAGCATATGAGGCATACGGTATCAGCCGGGAAGAGGGTGCAATCGTCGTTGTACGTCCTGACGGATATGTGGGGGTTGTGGCGCCATTCGATCATGTGGACGACATCAACCAGTACTTCGCATCTTTCATGCTAGAAGCCCCCGAAGCATAGGAGGGAGGCGCATGGAGAGTACGCGACTGTTCTAGTTGAAGGTGTCCTTAGAACGTTGCATGCATGGTCCCGGGTTGTAACTTGTCTACTCTGTTCCATGATGTCTGTAAAGTGCTCTAGTGACATACAGGTGGCGTCGCTCATCACCTCGTGGCTTTCATGATGCATCGTCTAAGCCCGTTTAGCATATATGCATAGAAATAAGATCAGACTCCCCGAGGTGCACACAGTTACTCTGACACCCTCGACAGGTCCTGCGCGCCTGAAAACCGCGGAATGATCTTGTACGGGAACGGGCTCGGGACGCTACACGTGCCGAGAGAAGCAGGTTAAAAGAGGTCGATACGACAGAGGAGAAACGCGCCTGACGAGCCCCGACGACCATTGGACTTGTGCTCGCTCCCTAGACTCGGACGGGTCCGAGATCTTGAAAACGTGCAGCATACACGCAATCGCCAAAAAGAGCGCGTCATCCGCAAAATATCTCCCAGGACAGATTCTGTGAAGTCACCAGCTGAGTAGGTATCATACGTCGCGTATTAACCCGCGATATGTACCTCCGTCCAAAGCCGAATGCGGCGCGACTTGGATCTGGTTCTCCCGTCGGTCTCTTAGGCGTTGGATTATAGCGGTTCGGATCGAACTCGTGAGGACTTGTGTAGACAGATTCGTCATGGAGCATCGCGCTGTTGCATCTGGCAGTTAGTAGAAGCGCTTTAGTGTCCGAGTAGGCAGACGTGCCTCAGGTTAGCGATAACGGTTGTTCCCTCGGGGATATGCCAACCACGGTACTCGTCATCTTCAACCACGGCATGAGGAACGCCTTCAAAATGAGAGTGAATATGAGCATGGAGACATGCGGCCACACTAAAATGCCCAAGCTACCCAACGGAGAGACGGCCTTCCATCGCAGTGTCTCCTTGACAAGATTCGACACGTATGGGAGCTCCTGACGATCCTCAAATGTAGGGAGCCTGTCTCGCCCAACAACTCTGTCTAAGTCCTGCTGGGCGCGTTCCTGCACCTCTGGGTACAAACTCATGGCAAGCGCAAAGTTGAGCAAGGCAGAGACAGTCTATCACGCATCCTGTTAGTTCTCTAGTTCAACACTTGCAGAACAATGCATCATAACTCACTGTATCAGCGACAGCTGCAGAGAACGTTCAGTATAGATCATACACAGACTTTCGTTAGACATACCGCTGTATATGACGCCAGCGGCGTTCATGGCAAACTCACCCGCCGGAACGCCTTCCAGTGGGGATTCACTTTGAATCAGGCGGGTTATAATCGACGGAACCGCTGTGCCATAGTCCTAGAGCATATATTCATAGCCTGCATGAGGTACAAAAAGGTGGTCCTCACTATGAGCTTCTTTACAGCATTGTACGGAGCCAGGCGCATATCCAGGGATAGGCGCCGCATGATCTCGGCATCGCGCTGGAATTGTGCACCTGGGAACCAGGATGGAAGATACTTCACTACTCACACGATGTGAGGTCAATTGCAGAAGTATAGCAGGACACGAGTACTCACATAGCGGTATGACGTCGACAATGCTGCTGCCAGGTGTCTTCTCGGCGTGCTCGCGGACCGCCTCTGCGAGTGCAACGAACTCGTCGTCCGCTGAGGTAACATGGTGGCCGTACGTGATAGCCATGATCGTCGCGCCTGCCATCCTAGACTGGAAGTCAGCGGACGGATGTTTAGGGAGTCGGACGCATACTGTTTCAGGTGCTCGGGCAGATGATCGGGTGTCTTCATAAGGCGTCCAAGCATAGCGATTGTCTCTCGCGCCATGATGATCCTGTGCGACTCCGCAACTACTGAAGGCTGAAACTCCTGCTGCACAACTTTACGATAGGCTTGGAATGCCTTGCCCAAGGGCATCATAATGAGATTCCAATCCCATCCCCAGCTGCCAGTCTTTATAAGCGACAGCTCCCAAATAAGCGACAGGCTACCTACAGTTCGTTGATCATGACAAGCCGAGGACGAGAGGAGTATATGGATCCTTTCTTGTCAAGTAGCTCCCGTGCAGCCTCAAACTTGTTTAGAACGACTAAATGCGAACCCAGCGCGTTGAAGTACACTACGTCACTTCCTGCACATGCAACGATGAGGGGAGCCTTGTCATGCTAGCCGAGGCGATTCAAGTGAACGTACCGCATTTCTTCCCAAGCGCCTCGTATGCGTCCCATTCGTTGCCTCCGGAGGGTATATCTTTGAGATTCCCGACAAGAGGCTGCTGCCGAGGCCCAGGAGGGAAGTGTTTGCGCACTTTGCTATGAGAGGATAGTCGCCAGGCTACAACAACAATGACTATGGCCAGGGAGCCTCCAGCGAGGCGCACTAATCCGGCACTGGTGTCATCCTGTAAGCCCATAATGAGACACTCTCCCGCCGAGGATGTATACCGGGATAAATCACTCAGCGCGAGCGGTGATGAGTGGAGTTTATACACTTCTTGGCGCTACCTTGCCGCAGGCAGTGCAAGAACTCCTTGAGCTTTGCTTCCTTTTCGGCGCGAGCAGCGCTGAAGACCGCATACGCCTACAATCGATTGGGTACCTGGAAACCGTTATCCTTAGATCGTTTCGCCATCGAAATCACACGTAGCACGGTAGTAGCAGCCCCACGCCCACGGTGACAGGGAAAGTTTGTCACTGGGTAGGGTTCCGCAGATTTTATCGAGTGCAAGCGTCCGACCTGATTGTAGCGGTAGTTCAGTAAGAAGATCTCAGAGATAAAGATACTCGCCGCACGAAATACTTGAGTTCGCTCGCCCGCACGTAGGTCAAGCCACCTAGCGCATCTCGTTCGTCGACACCGTGGGAGCAAATGAGCGTCTAAGGGAACATTTGCCTCCCGGCCGCTTGCGGACAAGTTGAGAAGCTACACTCACCTTCTTCGTCATCTCCTTATCGCCCATTTGTCATGGAGCACAAGCTACGATGGAGTGGACTCTAGTACTGTCTGAGAGCAGACCCTCCGCGGTCGCTCACGTGTCATTGTCGCCGTACTGGTGGATAGCTTGTGTTCTAATCCTCACCTAGTACGTGTGTCGACCGCCGCCGCACGAGGTGCAGTCATCATGCAGTCTTATATATTTTCTAGGAGAACTACATGTTAAATCTAGGACTTTCTGGATTGTGCGCAGGTATGCTTACCGCTCATACGATGCAGGAAACAAGATCATCATCTGCACTACTACGTCCAATATATGAAATACAAACAGCTCTCCTGACAGCCTCAGGTAGTGTGACGCAGCCTTTCCGCAATCTACATCAAATTTCAACGCTTCGCTTGATGAGTGGATCAGGCTTCTCAATCTCGCCCACAGCATCTGATATCAGCCTACGGCGCCTTAGACCCCGTCTGGATACTCGTCGATAGCGACAGAATGCTGAACGTTCTGGGCGGACTCTCCATCTCGAACCGGATCTGTTCATTTGAGGTCGGCGGTAGCGGCTCCCCACACCCTCGAAACCCGCCACTCAGTTGAGATCCGAAGTCTGTGCATGCCAAGGACGTCGACCTCGCCCGGCCACTCGCGACACACTGCCGAGTGTTCGGCAGAGGATATAACCTCATAAGAGGCTAGGGGAGCAGCCAATCAAATCAGTGCTTCCCAATGTCCTTGGTTCCTACGCTTGGTGTGTTGCTCGTGGGTGACCTGTGTTCAGTAGCGTAAGTCGTTCGACCCCTTCGTAATTAAACACGCCGCTAAGACCACCTTTGTTTCGACTAGGCTATACGGCCTTACCACTCTCCAAACCTACCTCTACTTCAACAGCAGCTGGATCACAGACACGTGGAAGCTGAAGTCGTTCGTAAGTGCTCTGCCTCACGCGGCGTTGGAACAGTCCTCACGGAGTGCTTGTTAGGTTTTCTTCATCTGGTATGCTGCAAAGACACATTCTGTCATATCCTCATCTCGATCTTGCGATTCAGGCTACTTGAGACGGTTCATACGTTTCTCATTTGCGCTTACATTTTTCGCGCTTTGGTTCTTGAACAATGCAATCCGAGCTCTCAACTACTGACTCGAGTGTATGCTTGCTCACCTCTTCGGCCTCCCGCATATGCTGAACCTTACCCCCTACTTGGACAGATCCGATGATGTAAGTGATGCTGCATTCGATGCCGCCTGTATTGCAGGTGCTGATTCGCTCTGCTTGCCTCTCAGGTTACAACACTCATTACCGTATGTAGTGCAGTCTAGCTCCCGTGGATCGACCGATTATGATCATTAGCAGACGGTTATCATCTTCTCTATCCACTTGTGCGCACAACATATGACGTCCATGCGGTATCTCGACTGACCATACACGTTAGGTTCTATATACGGCGCCTCTTCATTCGTAAGTGCTTTCAGAGTCTGGATTCCTGGTGTAGTTTGAAATTATGTATAGTTTCCGAGAGAATGAATCGGCGGTTTCACCTACTGATCATCGGTGGCATAGTGAGTATACGTCTGTTCGCATACTGCACATGGCATGTATTGACGTCAATGGTAGACGCTCCTCGCATCGTGTCATTTTGGTTCGTACCCTTCATTGATGACATTGCTCCTTCATTCACGTCTTGGATGGATAATAGTATTGGGGATTGGTACGTCTCTCATCGACGCGTTATCCGGCGTATTCTAAATTCCCGTCATTGCGATAGTCGTCATGGTACTTGAGTATGTACTATGTCTACATTCTTCCAAAGATATGGATAGAGGTGACAATGCAACCAGGTTTAAGTATCCCAAGTTCTCGGAGTTCCACAGAATCATGGTGAGTCTACGATGAGGGCACTGATGGTCGCTTTCTCAAATTGCCGCAGGACTACTATGCGGCATCGCTCGCTGTTGCCGCGGCATGTGATGTGACCATCGCTGTGTTCATATGGCTCATTCTCAAGAGTCGCCAGTCTTCGATGAAAAAGTAGTGCGCCTGCTAATTGGGGCTTGTTGTCATGGTTCTCAAAGCTGCTGATCCAGCACGAACACTCTGGTAAACCGAATCGTGACTTTCTCAATCACAAGTGGGGCACTGACAAGGTGAGTACCATTGTCACGTATGTGCCTTCTAATGCTCACGCTCACGCAGTGCGATGGATGTTGCGATACTCATCTGTGTGCGTTTCCCTTCATAAAATTCGATCTACTGAAAGGTGGCCGACACATGAGTAGTTCATAGCAATGCCTAACAATCTAGTTTACCTCGCGCTCTACAACACGATAAACAACCGTACGTCCACCCATTTGCATGCGCTGTCTATCCGCCGGTTGAACATCGCCACCCAGTGTATGCAAACTCTCTCCTCGCCATGTCCGTTTCGTCCTATCACATAAGATGCACCCTAAATCTAACCGACGCCCTTCTGATCACAGGATCAACGTCCGCGAAGCCCTCTCAAGAATACCTGTCGGCGTCAGGACAAGCATCACGCTTTCGGACCTTCGCTTCGCCGAAGCATCCACCTCACAAGATCAGGATGGGCGCACATCAGTCAGCTTGAGAAGAGTTCGTCTGCATAGATTCTGTACCCTCTATCCTACATGGTACATGACTGACGGGACAACCGCATACAGATCGAAGACCCATCCTACAAACCACCTTTGACGATGCGAATGCCGGACGGAGAGGCGGACGAAGTATAGGCTACCTACAATCCTGGCCAATCCAGGTCAGCCGAGAGCGGGCAATATACTCTAACGTCTACCAGCTCAGAGTTGGACCTTATACATTTCAGCTCGTCTCTGGGCGCACTTCATGGTATGGCTGCTCTTCAGAGGTTCAGGTACAACAAGGTCACGGCGGATTCTTGCAAATGAGCACTGGGTCTAGTCGGCATACACGTCTGATGGCTTCTGACGCTGATATTACCCTTTCTTGTGGGCGTAGATGATGGGGACGAGTGCATATGTCCCCGTATATGCTGAAAAGCGAGGACTATGCCTGATTGGGTGGTCTGACATGTGCAACCGGCTTTCTGCTTCTGCTTCTGCTTCTGTTGGAGACGCCAAACGCCAAACGGCGCGGTCCCTCAGGTGCATTCCTAGTGTCTCTTTCTCTGTTCCGTGTTGATGCTTTCGTCCCGCCCGCGGCTGATTATCTGGCCCTCTCAAGTCTCTGCGCCAAGGCTGAAGCGACGCGGTGCGATGCAGGATAAGAGGAAACTCACGCCTTCTCCCAATGAATCGTTTCGATGTGATGTGACGGCCAACTTGTCATTTGCGTCTACATGCGCTCATGCGTTCAGGGAATAAACAAGCACCTTACGCCCATGTCTTCTCCGCCTCCACAAGCGCATCGATAGTCTCCTCCAGCGTCTTCCGCCAATCAACATACTCCGTGATACCAAGGACCTCCTTAGCGCGCGTCGTGTCGTTCTTCGACAGAGGGCCCGGGAACTGAGACACCTCCTCGAGCGACGGAAGCCGTTTGCGCAGCTCAGGGCGTGTATCGTAAAGATGCTTCACAGCGCTGTCGAACGTCAAGGCAACGGGGCTCGCTATGAGGAAGCGCTTCTCCTGGCGATCTGCGCCCTGCGGGAGCGGCGGTAGCTCAAGTGCGCGAACGTGAGCGAGCGCAACGTCACGGACGTCGACCCAGAAGGGCGAGATCTGGTAGGGGAGCGGTCGGCCTGCTTCACCGACGATAAGCTGGTAGAGGAGACCGGGGGTGCCGAGGAAGGAGTTGGAGAGCGGGAGGATCGGCGGGCCGTACACGAAGGGCGGGCATACTGAGCCGCGTGATGGATATCAGTATCAGTATCATGAGGTGTGGAAGGAGAGGAGATAAGACACGTACTGGTGGCGAGGTCAACCTCAGGGTGCTCCTTGGTGAACTCCCATGCTGCTTGCTCCGCAAGAATCTTCGTCCCGCTATAGACATACATATCGCTGCGACCGGGTTGAAGGAGGTCTTCGCGAGACGTCTTTCCCCAATCTGTTTGCAGAATTCATAGCCGATTCATCAAGGCGACGACCACCTACGCTACACTGAAACGTACCCTTCTCTGAGAGCGTGAGACCCTCATAGCCTTGCTTCGCGTCGGCTACGACCCTTGCTCAATCAGTGGCCATCCTATAATATCATAGCAATGCTGTTAACTCACGATCAACCAATGAAGCCCAGCTACTTGTCAGAACGAACTTCGTCACGCCTTGAGCAGTAGCCTGGCGAAGCACATTGAGGGTCCCTTCTATGGCACTCTGAATCGACATGTTCATTCAACAACACGTGTAGAAGCACGATGATACTCGCCTTGATCGTGGTCTCTACGGTCTGTGTGCCGGCGAGAGGTGACGCCATATGAAGTACAGCGTCGACGTCTAATGGAGGGGAGTGAACGGAGGGCCGCAGATTAACAAAGAATCAGACATGAAGACGTTCAGAAGATGCAAAACCATCACCTTTAAGAGCCTCGGTGAAATCGCTCGTCGCGATGTCTTCTATCTGAACGGCCTCGAAATGGGGGTTTGCCTTCCAGAACTCGCGGAGGAAGTCGACCTTCTTGCCACGAGCAGTGCTATACATACTCGTCAGCAGTGTGCAAGTAGTGACCGACGAATTGTCGTACCCTCGGACGCGGTATCCAGATTCAAGAAGCTTCTGAACGACGTGAGCTGCGATGTAACCGGATGCGCCGGTAACCTATGAGAGGTTAAGCCTGGGGATTTGCCTAAACACGAACATGCGTACCAGGACGAGCTTGCTGGAAGACATCACCGTGACTTTCCGAATGTGGCTTTGCGTTGGGGGCGGGGTTGAATGACTGTGAGTGTGCTCTTCATGTTGTTCTCTGGTCGCTTTTATACGTAGGCAAGCGATACCGTCTGTCGGGGAATGTGTAAGACATTCGGGATGGAACGCACGGGCATGTCACAGTAGGCTATGCCGGTCTGATTCCTTGCTGGCGCGCACGCCTATCAGTTGTACTTGTCTGCGCCGAAGGCTTGAACTGGTACTCAATCTGATTTCCCAGCGAAACACAAATCTGGAGCGCTGAGTGTGTCAGGGCTCGGCCATCGGCCATGGTATCCGGTCCCCGAGGACGTAGTCAGTTGCCATTCATGGGCATATGCTGTGAAGGCCAGTCTGATTGGTGAGTGCGAGACGCGTGAGGCTAATTCAGGCCGAGGAGATGCCATGAAGCCGTACAGTATACTATCGAAGCAACACAAGGTAGCCATTCACAATGAGAGATGTGTGCCAGACATATCTAGTGTCAGGACATCTCCATAAGCCTTTGGCAACGCAGAGGGAACGAACTGAAACGCGGCACCGAGTTGGACTTGAAGGATATCTATGTGATCAAAGCCTGATCTAGTCTGGCAACGGAACGTGTACTGCCCGTGAGGCCCTCGAAGCAATGAGCTTGCCCTCGAGTAGCATCGTGAGGCCCATCAAGATAGCCTTCTTGGTATAGCATGGAAGTAGTAACAATCCGAGGAGGGTGGTTCAGACTGACACGCCGGGGGCGCTCCTCGTGGGAAAACGATGCAGCCACCTGTCCTCGTTTGGTCAGTGTGCGCGTAGTCGCTGACCATGTTCCGATGTCAGGGATCCTTTCATGTCCAACGTCCTAGATTCGCCACCCGCTCTACTAGCTCGATATCATTTTTCTTGAAGCTCATGCTTGTGACTCTAAATTGCTACACCTCTTTGAGGGCGGGGCGCAACACCACTTCGAATTGGGTCGCCGAGTGCGCTTACACAGTAGGTTATATCAGCTCAAGTAGATCGGGCCCTAAGGTTGTTTCACAACATCTGTGTACATATGAGCCTTCTGATGCATACGGGTAGGCTGACGTCTCCTTCGCTTTCGCTTAAATATCCAGGTACATATGCAGTGCCCACAAATGTCGCCATGCAGGTAATGGTGCAAGTATCTCAGCACACATTTTATGAGGCCGGAGGCAGCCATGAGATCGGGGAAGGCGCTCGACGCCCATTCCCCACATACACCCTCAGCTTCTTGCTCTGTACTGCCCGTGTGGGTGCAAGCTTCCAGGTCTCGGAAGCTATTGGTATACAAGTCAGTCGACGAGTCAAGAGGCTTCCTCGGAAAACCCTTGTATCTGCTACCTGTGTAGGCTGACTATGGCACCAGAAAATCTCGTGCTTGTCAGTAACGTCATACTCATACTGGTCGCCTCTGATGTTGCCTTGTGTCGAAAACAGGTTACTTGCACCTATGGCTTTATTGGCTCTCAAATCATTTGCCACCTATTCGAGGCTGGCTATCGCATGAGAGGGTATTATTCTTGCCGATGATATGTTCTGTTCTACACCCTGGCTAAATGTGACTCGCTCTCAGGACGCACGCGGCGGAAGGCTAAAGCTCTGCGAAAGTACTTCAAGTTGTAGTCGAACTCTGAGGCTTCTCAAATGACAGCATTGATGCGCAAAATCTCGACCTGGAGAGGGCCTTGGAGGGTAATCACTGTTTTCACAGCTCTCTGTACGCGTCGTGATCCATGGATCGTGTCCCCTGGCGACGCACAGATTATTGGCGGGGGGCCTGCAGGCAAGTCTCGTTTGTACCAGCTATACTAAGTGCATCCGACAGAATATGTTCCTGAACGCTTCTAGTAGGATCGCAGCACATTCTAGAGTGGTTGATAAGGGCAGGAATCTACGAAGTTCTCTTGATGAGCCGCTGAGCGACCGCTCTCAACCATGTGCACGCTTCATTGTATCCGCTAACAGACAACTGACCAAACATTTCTGGTAGCTCACCTGAAGCAGGTGTACGTCGCGACGACCATCATCAAACGTAGACTTTTTTGGCTCTCCGTCAATCCGACTCTCGCTCAGAATGCCACAACAAGGTTGGCCCAGGCGCCCAGATAAGACATACACAGGGAGGGAACACCCGTGCACACATGCGGGTTGCATGAACCTCTCCGACAATGCGAAACCAAGGTTCACTGAAGAGAGTTGAACCTAAGCCCTGGATTCGAGTGAGTTCAATCTTCTTCTTCTTCTTCTAGATCCCGTTTATTGCCCTGCGAGGCCGAGCCTCATGGTAGGCAGTAAATACATTGTTGTCTACTTGGGTGATGATGGAGGTCGGCGGGACATAGTTGAGCAGGATGCTCATGCAATCTAAGGGTGTGTGGTGGGAGAGATGTCGATGAGGGATGGTGCAAGGGGATGTGCCAGGGTACAGACAGGGGCGAGAGTGAGACGTTCGAGTACGTAAATGGTGTGGAAGGGGGCAGGGCTCAGGAAAGGTGCATTGCGGACGTCCGCCCAGTCCCGGCCATTTAAGGCAAGGGAACGGGCTATAAACCTGCGGCCTTTGGGTGCGGTTGCGCCCCTGGGTCTCGCCTCTTGCGCTGGTCAGGTGTACGTCTGGCGGTATCCCCGCCATCCG